GATCCATATTACTGCTTTTTAACTTCTCCATTCTTTGGCACTGACTATCTCTAAGACCATCATTGCTAGTCAAAATTATCCAAGAAAATAAAACAGCATGGTCCTCATTACCAGAAATGCTGCTGGAAATAAAATCCAATTTCTTTGTTTTCAAAAAGCAATTTTGACACACTATGAACTAAAAAGGCAATAGAGAAATTTCATAAAAATTAAGCTTGAACTCTATTTCACCACTGGACAATTTAAACCAGAATTGTATTTTGCTGCAAAATTCACTAACCAGACGTACAAGACAGATATTTTATGATATTGTGCCTTGAAGAGCTATAAACATTTCCCAAAGTTTGAGTCACCAGAAATGTACTTTTAAAAAATAGGTGGAATAAAAACTGTCCTAATAAATATATTGTATTTTCCTACTCGGGTTCTTTTTGTTCCACACCATAAAATATCTGGGGAGAAATAATGTTCCGTGTCATTTTGTGGTTGAAATATATTGTAGAGAACCTGTTGTAAGTGCTAGAGTGAGAAACAACCCCTTCCCTTGCCCAAAGGTAGGAGAAAAACAGGTACATACTTCCTTGAACTTGTGCCACAAGAAATTTGTGGAGAATAGATATTGATGTCTTCAGAGGTGGGGATCAAGGGATATGGCGGAGTTCATCACAGAACACTGAAGATCCTTCCACACAGCCATATAACCCAGACTATCAAGGCAGGAAAACCCCACAATACCTGCTTTGAACTGGGTTATCGGAGTCCACACTGCCATATATTCCAATTCAAAGCAGAAAATATGGGATTTTATTCAGCTAGGTGGACGGGGCCTAAGATATATCATTATGAAACCCATAGGGCCAAATAAAGATAAAGACAATGAAACAATTATAGAAACTTTTGAACTGTCCTTCATGTTATTTCCCATATAATATAATATGTGAAACAAGATAGGTCCAGATGTAGACCCACTAGTCTATTCTGAGTCACTATGAGATTGCCACCATAATTTGAAACAGTTCTATCAGGTTAAGAAGAATTAATCTAATTACTGTCATCCATAGCAGAAATTACTATACCAATACATACATCTAACATATGCTATCAGTGTTCAAATGGTCAAATAACCATTCATTCCACTGTATTTGGCAAATCAGCAGTTCAGTATCTATGGACAAAATATGAAAAAACAACAACTCTGCTCTACCATTTGAGTGACAAGTTTGGACCTGAACACAATGCAGGTAGATGTCAAATCCACCTATGTGTAAATCACTCTGTAAATAGGCATTATTTTTCAGTCATAATGCTATGGAAAAGAGACGGCTCCAATGGAACAAATGTAAGCCCCTTCCACACAGCTCTATAAAATCCACATTGAACCGGATTATATGGCAGTGTAGACTCAGATAACCCAGTTCAAAGCAGATATCGTGGATTATCTGTCTTGATATTCTGAATTATATGGCTGTGTGGAAGGGCTCTTAGATGCCTGACTGATTATGTAATTGTTTACAGGTTTTCTGCTGCAAAACGCTTAGAGGAATTCAAAGTGGTGCATCTATATTTTTAGTTCAAATCCATCTGCCCATTAGATTTAAAACTTAATACTTTATCTGTTGTGATAAATACCTCTTCATCCAGTCCTGAAGAGCTGTTTGCTTTAATTCATAAGCATCAGAACTATAAAACATTAATTTTATCTTCTTATTAAGAAGATTGCCCTTAATTATAATTATCTCTGAAAAAGAAAAATGCAACAGCTGCATCTATTCTGAGAGTGGCTCCCCAGACAATGTAATTAAGTTAGTTTGGTGAGAAGCTGTCTGCACAGATTTGAAAGATGCTAAATATCAGTAGTATCTTAATTTCCTATGTTTATAATAGTGTTAGATCAGCTACTGTTGTGTGTACCAGTAAATAAAATCAAAGCAACTAGTAGCTGCCCTGAGTGGCACCCTGGAATTTAAAAGAAATATAATGTTAACACAGTCAGAGTCCAATATAAGCTTATTTCAAGGAAGGTCCAGTAGAGAGAGATTTGTAGTGTTCCACATAACATGGGATAGAAAAATATAGCCTCCAATGGCTAAGCTATATTTTTAGCTGAGAAAATGAAAATTCACATAAAAATTAAGCTCTATTTGCTTGCAGAGTCTGAAAAATATTAATTTGTAAGTCTCTTAAGATAGAGAACATGTTTCAAAAATTTAGAAAAGATTGAAGATTCACATGTATCACATGATTCAGATCATTGTCAGTATCCCCCAAATATCTGATGCTACCTGATTTTTTTAATGCATATTACATCCAAAAATAAAGTTAGAATAGCCTCTTCTCTGGCCCTAAAAATATTATTCAAATATTATGAGCATTGATATTAAATTCTAACTATCTTGATTAAGAGTAAAATATCTATTGGCATATTTACTGAATTGCTATCTGTCTTCAAGTCCCTTCTAACTATTGTGGCCCTAAAATTAAACTATCCTAAACATTTCCTTGGCATTTTTTGATCACAGGGATTTACTTTTGCTTTCCTCTGGGGCTGAGAGACTGTGACTTCTCCAAGATCATGCAGTGAGTTTTCATCCTTGGGTGGTTCACTATCAGTTACCATTGTTTTCCTTATATATATATATATATATATATATATATATATATATATATATATATATATTGGATTGCAGAATGTTTATTATTGGACTTTTGTTCTTTACAGAATTAACTTCTTAAAAGATAAAATATGAAGTAGTTAAAATAATCAGAAGATAGAATTTCAAATTCTATAACCTTACTTTTGGTTTCACCAGGATTTTGCAAGATCAATTCCTTATGTCTTCTAAAGCATAGGTTCCTTTGATAGAGTATTTGTTGAATACATAATCAACATAGCTATTAGAAGTGAAGCTCAATATTATTCTAAAGGGATAAGAAGTATTAGCATAACAAATCTAATTAACAAATCTCTGCTAATTAAGTTTTGTAGATCTATTTTTTCTTAGCATATGGAGAGGTGCTTTTGCATAACCAAGTGCATCAATCTAATTCCATAACATGAATGACAAGCTTGGGATAGAATGTCTCGTCAATCTGCTCTTTGAAATTAGCAATTATTAAATTAGCATTTTAATGCTGTACTTTAATTTATAGTTTGAACTTAGGTAATAGGAACATTTCCATCTTTATATGTTTACTCTATTCAGTCTTTTCAACATTAAGTTTCTTGCATCTATGGGGAAAAATTAACAGAAGAAAATTAGCTCTTTTTTTCTTTTCTAGTGTCAGATTAACTCTACACAGAATTGCTCCATAAAAGCCAATAAAGATTTAGGAAACCGACAGATTAATACCATCTTTATGTTATTTGTGTTCTTCTATTAATAGAAGTAATACATTCTGGATTTAAAATGATTATGCTACTGATATGCCTAAACAATTTACTAGTATGAAGTATCACTGATAAATATGAATCTTTTCATTTCAGATAATTGCCTTATTTAAATACTAGCAAAATTATTTTCAGCAAAGCATATATCAGAACATAAAGAATGCAAAATATTTTGATATTATCAGCAGGACAGAACCTGTAGTCCTCTCTATATGTTGTTGGACAAGAGAGCCCGTCAACGCTTCTTCTAGCCATATTGGCTAGAAGTGATAATGCAGTCTGGCAATGTCTGGAAGAGCACAAATTTCTCATTCCTCAATTAGTGAAAGGCCATTTCATCCCACATCTATCTGTACTGGAAATGTCACACTGAAATTAACTAGAGATATGAAAATCCCTAGTCATATTATATTGATTTCCTCTCTTTGCTCCAATTATATATTCATATAGCAACACAGCTTTTGGCTAGACAGCCCTCTACAAGCAGATTTTAATTCCCTATATTGGTAGAATGCTGGGATAAACATAAAGCAAATAAATAAATACATAAGTGTTGTAGCAATTTTGTTTTCATTACATTTTTCAGAACCACACTGTCATTCATGCCCTATTCAAGTTTAATGCTAGGTTCTGAGAATGTTGGGGATTACAGGTATCTTTCACTGAAGTATATGTTACTGGAGTGTGTTGAAACAGTTGCCCCTGAATTAATACACCACTGGTAGTTGGGAAATAGGAGGAACAAACAGAAATGTGTTTCAATTCAACACTAAGGGCCCTTCCAGACAGGTCCTATATCCTAGGATGTGATTCCAGGTTTTCTGTTTATCCCAGATTATCTGGCAGTACGCAATGTGGCCAATGAGATCTATAAAGCGAAAAAGAAGACGGGCAGGGCATATAGCACAAACAAAATATAACGGATGGACATGGCTACTGCAACTAACAAACTGGATACCAAGAGATCAAAAGCAGCCCTTGGGCAGACCTCATACTTGATGGGACAAACCAAAGGTTAAGTTATTTGGCCAGAGATGGAAAAGAAAAGCACAGGATCATATATTTTGGCAACTGGTAGATTTGTGTGAACAGATAGAATAGAATAGAATCTGGCAGTGGGGACTCATATAATTCAGTTTAAAGAATAAAACCTGGGATATAATGGCCTGTCTGGAAGGGTCCTTAGACAATTCAATGAGGTTTTCTTACCATTTATTTGTATTCCCTTCCTATATAAAACAAATATACTTTTTAAAAAATTCTTAGTCTTTCTAGTTTTAATAAAATGAGGATCCCAGGTATTGTTCTATAACCAAATATGTATATTCAGATCTGCATACTATGCATGTCTTGTTCATCCAGAGCTAATATCAGCAGAGCAGTTTACGTCAAGGGAACAACATAGAGGGAAAATTTGAAGTTTCCTTCGCAGAGATTTCTGTTTTCCACACCCCCCACCCAATACACACATTTTTTGAACAATCATGTCTTTTAGATGTCAGGTGCATTAATAATACAAACTCTCAAGAGATTTTCAGAATTTTTAAAATGAGTTAGATGGGATTCCTGATATTTCACCAAAGATAGCTTTTCATAACAAAATTTCACTCACCAAATGGTTGGTGGTTCTGATCCTTCTATTTCCAAGTAATCATATTTTTCTTCCATTTGAAAATCTGTAAATATGAGGGAAATTGTGTCTCCAGGTTCAGCCACGATGGTCCATGTGCAGTCTGCATTGTTGTGGTACTCGTTGGGAAAATTAGGGCTCGAGACGATGCCGCTGGATCCCCTCATTGTCCCTCCACACGCATCTTCAGCTGTTAAAAACAGTGAATAGAAAAAGGAGGATATCCATAAGAGGAAAATATTTAAATTTATGTACTTCCCCTGAAATAAAAAAAATTCAATAGAATAAGCTATTAAATAATAGCATGTGCTACCAGCTAGAGGGAAATGCAAAGCTAGATTGTTCCATCCTACTGGGAGACTACCTTCATTGAGTTATTTCCTCAGTTTATATCTAGAAGCAGCCATTCCATGAGAGTGCAAAGACTAGAAGGAGAGCTGTCACTATCAATTGTATTAAAGCACCAGATTTGATAGACTCCTCTATTTCAGCTGTTTATATCCATTATAAGAATTATATAACTCACTAGAATTCTATAGTGACATATTCTTGTTTCACTCCTCCCTCCTCAACCAGCTTTCTTCTTGAATTGATCTTTAACACATGACCTGTATTGATTAGCATCAGTGCATGGAAAATGGGATTGTGCTTGCTGATCAGATGCTGAACTCCACACATTAAGCCAACAATGAAAATGGTCCTATATCTACAAGCTGAGAAGGCACCAGCAGATAATCTGGATTTTATACAGATGTGTAGAAGGGATCTGAGTAGTACATTTGGCCCAAAAAATACCGTGAGTGCAGGGCACAAGTAGGAAATAACTTAAAAGTAGAAAGCAACAACAAACAGACTGAGACTGACATAAAGCTAATGGTCTTCCATACACTTGCAAATATGTGAATGAAGGAGAGAATATGACTTTTGAGTGGTGACTGTTGAGAAAACTACAGGAAGGGTAGTGACATTTGCTTGGTAACATTTGATATGTAGCGTAACATGAATATTATGCATTTCTACTGATATTGAACTTTCTCAATGAAGCTCTTCTTGTGCAAAAAGAGTGTCTGTGGTCATGTCAACAGTCTAAAATGTGCCATATGCTATACTGACCAGAAGACAGTATGAACAAAAAGGAGGAAGATAATGGGAAAAAAGATTATGGCAGCACCTTCAAGACTAACTGGTTTTGATTTTAGTATAGACTTCCATGGATATAACTCATTTCTTCAAATGTACAAAGTAATTTTAAAGCTTTAGATGTAAAAATATTTTTTACAATTTTGGGATTGGGACTGAGTGCAATAGGATCCAAAAATATGCAAATTGTGCCCTTTACCCTTCCATACACTGGAGCTTTTTGGAGTCTATTATATTCTACTATAATTTTATGAATATGACCAAATAAGGCATAATGAAAAAAAAGGACAAGCCTATAAATGAGTTGCAATGATAACAGCAACAGAGTAAAGCAGAAGAACAGAAAAAATGGAGCACAGCACTGTTACTTGTAAGTATTGGAATTAAGTCAACAAGATGTAAACATAGGTTTTGACAGAAGCTCCAGGTGCCTTACTATCTTATCACATGGAGTATTGGAAGTGTCCTAGCACACTACCAGGATGTTTCCTCCATGGCAACATGTTAGGATGCTTCCCTAGAAACATGGGAGGCTTCTCATGTTCCATAGAGAAGAATGGGGGGAAGCCTGTTGGAGACATTTTTCCCCATGAGGTACAGTGGGCGATGGGGGACAACAGTTTTCTCCTGCTGCCCCATGAATTTAGACCTCAATGTTATTAGGTCCTTAATCAGAACAGCTGTTTCTTTTCCTAGCATGATAAACTACAGCTAACAACTTGGTTCTTGTCATGCAACTTTCCTACGTACAGACATCCTTCAAGAAATAAATGCAGTAATTGTAGTAGAGGCACCTCCAGAAATATATGGATTCAAGCGTGTGACAAATAAGGATCACTGATATTACAAAGACAAACAATTAAATCCCTGTTCCTTGGGCCTTCATATGGCAAGAGAGAAAGGGAAATTGCCCAATAACGGCAATGGCTTGGGATCTGGATACTTTTAACTTGGAGAATAAAAGCTTTAGAGGGAAATGATAGCTATGTTTAAATATTTGAAAGAATGTTCTGTTGAGGATAGAGCAAGTTTGTTTTCTGCTGGCCTAGACACTAGACCATGAAGCAATGAATTCCAACTACAGGAAAAGGGATTCCACCTAAAAATTAGAAAGAAACCTCTGACTGTAAAAGGTGTTCAGCTGTGGAATATGCTGCCTCAGAAGGAAGAGGAGTTTCTTTCTCTACGGGTTTTTAAGCAGAGGCTAGATGGCCACCTGTCAGGACTGCTTTGCTTGTGTTTTCCTACATGGCAGTAGGTTGGATTGAATGACCCTTGTGGCCACTTCCAGCTCTATGATTTTATGAATATGACCAGTAGTTGGTATTTTTTAGTTCTTGATTTCTAATTATACTGGGGGTGGGGAAGAAAAAATGGCTGAATGACTTAATTATCTTCCTAGTCTTGCACCCCTTTCCTAAGAATGCAAAATATGGACTTTGTAACGCAAGTGACAAGTCACAATACCTGGTGGCATTTTGCATTTGTCATGACTGTGTAAATTAGGTCACCCTCTGTTTATCTTCATCTATCTTCACATGTGAAATTCATTAATCTGCAAACCATTCTCACAAACAGTTCACAGTTATTATCTTGAATGTCATGTTCCCAGCACAATCACGTTTCTACTTCTTACAAAAGATCTGCTTTAATAAAGTGAATTATTTCAAAAGAACAGACATCTCAAAGAGTGAAATACACAAAGAACTTGAATAAATGTCCCACTTCATAATGCAAGCAAGGATGAAATACCAGATTACATACAGATCTTTGTTGGTAGACCCTTGGGTTCACAGTTCTTATAAAAGAAACATGCTATCTTTAAAGCTTTTATACATTTTTGAAAAAGAATGATATGACTGCTATTGGGTCTATTCCTTCAGTGTAAGATACCCAGAGGTCAAGATTCTTTAAAAGTCATATCTTCTGCATCTGAAATCTAAGCCATAACTTCATACATTTAAGAGAGAAAAGTAAGGGACATCTGAAGATGTGTCAGTTCAACAAGGCACACCATAGAGTGAATAGTATTTCAACACATCAGATGTCTGAATTTCTAGTATCACACCATTGACATGATATGAATAGTTGATGGACCTGAATTAAAACCCAGACTGGCTTTGGAAAAATGGATTGTCACTCTCCCCACAGAGCACTACAAAATTAAATCAAATAAAAAATACACAGTCATTGACCAGCAAAAGGAAAGTGGAGTACAGTCTCATAAAAGCATTGTACATTGAAATCTAAAAGGCTAGAAAACAGAGATATGCTAAAAGTTAAAGCACAAAAACTATTTAGATAAGAGAAGGGACTAGAAGGGGATGGAGAGGGAGGGAGATTGACAGAGGAGCATTCAGGGCACAAGTCTAGAAGACTGGCGTGGGAAGAACTAATTTACACTTCAGTTAGCTTCTAGTTAGATTGATAACTTTTGAATAATCATGTTGTTGTTCATTCGTTCAGTCGTCTACAACTCTTTGTAACCTTCTTTCTATATCCATATGTTTTTTTTTATTACTCCAATCGCCCACATGAATAGAGTGGCAGGAGTACAGTCAAGTAGCTCAGACTTTAGGTCCAGTCTTAAAGTTTGTTGTTGTTGTTCATTCGTTCAGTTGTCTCCGACTCTTCGTGACCTCATGGACCAGCCCACGCCAAAGCTCCCTGTCGGCCGTCACCACTCCCAGCTCCTTCAAGGTCAGTCCAGTCACTTCAAGGATGCCATCCATCCATCTTGCCCTTGGTCGGCCCCTCTTCCTTTTGCCTTCCACTTTCCCCAGCATAATTGTCTTCTCTAGGCTTTCCTGTCTCCTCATGATGTGGCCAAAGTACTTCAACTTTGTCTCTAGTATCTTTCCCTCCAGTGAGCAGTCGGGCTTTATTTCCTGGAGGATGGACTGGTTGGATCTTCTCGCAGTCCAAGGCACTCTCAGAACTTTCCTCCAACACCACAGCTCAAAAGCATCTATCTTCCTTCGCTCAGCCTTCCCTAAGGCTCTGGCGGGGGCTGGTCCATGAGGTCACGAAGAGTCGGAGACGACTGAACGAATGAACAACAACATGATTATTGCCTCCAAAAGTTATCAATCTAACTAGAAGCTAACTGAAGTGTAAATCAGTTCTTCGCACGCCAGTCTTCTAGACTTGTGCCCTGAATGCTCCTACCCCTCTGTCAATCTCTCTCCCTCTCCATCCCCTTCTAGTCCCTTCTCTTATCTAAATAGTTTTTGTGCTTTAACTTTTAGCATATCTCTGTTTTCTAGTCCAGCTCTCACATCCGTAGGTTACTACAGGGAATACCATGGCTTTGACTAGGCGGATCTTTGTTGCCAGTCTGATGTCTCTACTCTTTACTATTTTATCGAGATTGGACATTGCTCTCCTCCCAAGAAGTAAGCGTCTTCTGATTTCCTGGCTACAGTCTGCATCTGCAGTAATCTTTGCCCCTAGAAATACAAAGTCTGTCACGGCCTCCACGGTTTCTCCCTTCTATTTTCCAGTTGTCAATCATTCTTGTTGCCATAATCTTGGTTTTTTTGACGTTTAGCTGCAACCCGGCTTTTGCGCTTTCTTCTTTCACCTTGATTAGAAGGCTCCTCAGCTCCTCCTCGCTTTCGGCCATCAGAGTGGTGTCATCTGCATCTCTGAGGTTGTTAATGTTTCTTCCAGCAATTTTCACCCCAGCTTTGCATTCATCCAGCCCCGCACATCGCATGATGTGTTCTGCATACAAGTTAAAAAGGTTGGGTGAGAGATGCAGCCTTGCCGTACGCCTTTCCCAATCTTGAACCAGTCTGTTGTTCCGTGGTCAGTTCTTACTGTTGCTACTTGGTCCTTGTACAGATTCCTCAGGAGAGAGACAAGGTGGCTTGGGATGCCCATCCCACTAAGAACTTGCCACAATTTATTATGATCCACACAGTCACAGGCTTTAGAATAGTCAATGAAGCAGAAGTAGATGTTTTTCTGAAACTCCCTGCCTTTCTCCATTATCCAGCGGATATTGGCAATTTGGTCTCTCGTTCCTCTACCTTTTCTAAACCCAGC